GCAGCTGTGTCTCTCCAGCTTCACTGTGCAGCTGTGTCTCTCCATCTCCAATGTGCTGCTGAGCCCACTACACCTAAGCTCTATGCAACCCTTGACATCCTTCTTCGGGGGCATCATGAATTTCCTGTGATTTTCATCAGTTCCTTAGTACTGTGCTGTCTGAAGCAATGAGATCTAGTGGTCTCACCTCAATTTTGAAATTTTTCTGAGTATCAGAACCCTCTGCTCTTGATTTTCCACCCATTTTTCAGTTAATATTATTAATCTCTTTACACACTTCAAAAATCATGATACCACATGATAAACACAAAATTTCATAATTTATTTTCAACTAAATAAGAAAAGGGGAAATTACTGGTAATTCATGAGATAACATTCTAGGCCCAACAATGAATGTAATTAATTTGATTGCTATCCCCTGATGCCTGCTTCTGGAGCAGGGGTTACTCACAGAAAGCGATCCCTGTCAATCACAAAGAGCTCCCCGGCAGACACACTTGTAATACACTGGAAGATTGTGACCAAGAAGAGCAGGCTGGCTCTGCCAGGAGAGAATGGAGACAAAAGCAATAATAAATTCAACATTAGGATGAGTTCTTTCCAGTTTACCTTGACACCTTGTTCTGTAGATTAAATCATAACAATAGACAGATCTTTTCTTTAAAAAAAAAAAAAAAAAGCAGGACTGGAGAGATGGCTCCGCAGTAAAGAGTGCATGCTGCTCTTGCAGAGGACCCGGGTTTGGTTGGCAGCACTCACATGTCAATCACAGTCATCTGTCACTCGAGTTCAAGGGGATTCCGTGACAGCTAGTTCTGTGTCAACTTGACACAAGCTAGGGTAATCTGAAAGGTGGGAACCGCAATTGAGAAAATGCCGCCACAAGATCCAGCTGTATGTCATTCTCTTAATTACTGATGGGAGGGGGAGGACCCATCCCATTTTGGGTGGTACAGCCCTGAGGTTCTCAGAAAGCAAGCCAAGCAAGCCATGGGGAGCAAGCCAGTAAGCAGGACTACCATGGCATCTTCAGATTCTGTCTAGCTGAGTTTCTCCTGTCCTGGCTTCCTTCAGGGGTGGATGACAATGTGGGAATGTTAACTGAATAAACCCTTTTCTTCACAACTTGCCTTTGGTCACGTGTTTATTCAAAACAGTAGTAACCTAAACTAAGACAGAATATGATGCTTCTTTCTGATAGCTACAGTTCTCGGGAAACACACATGGTACAGACATACATGTAGTAAAAAATCATGCACATAAAAATAAAATAAGTATTTTAAAAAGAAAGAAGAAAAATATAGAACTGTTCTGGTTTAAAATGTCAGGAAGAATGAATCCCATGAGTTAGTCTCCTCTGTCTCCATAACAGTATCTATTACTGAAAGTTTGTCCTCTAAAATCCAACAATTTGATAATGGCCCTTAACGTAACGATACTAGAGTATGCAATTTAGGGGTTAACTGGTTTTAGATAAAATCATGAGAGTGGAACCCCAGGATGTCATCTGGGTCTTCATCACCTCATCATGGGAAGAAACAACATTGCAATGTCTGCCATGAGAGAGAAGGTGGCCAGACAGGAAGAGCCTGTGAGAGAATCCTTACTGCAGACTCTCACGCTGCACTGTGGAGACACATTGCTTTTTAATCCACTGAATCTGCTGCATTTACTCATGGCAGCCCACCCAACTCCAATTTAACTAAAAAAAATCATAAGCATCGTGCTAATAAAGAGAGAAACATAAAGATAAATAAAGTTCCAAGGAGTTCTCATACTGAGTTGGCTGCTTTGATTTACAGAAGAGTAAGAAGGAAAACATGAAACAGTGGAGAAATCCCCACTCAGCGGCTTACTGCAGACACGACCTGTAGAAACATCTTTAAAACCCTAATGATCATCCCTAAAATAGGCCAACCAACTTCCTGCATGGTTTCCAAAGAGCTCAAAAAAGGAATCCAGTCTTGCTTATTTATGAAGAAATAATGTTTGATCACATGATAGGGGATGGTAAGCAGGAGGAGGGGGAGCAAAAGGCCCTCTGCAGTTACCTGTTTCCTGGACATACATCATGTCCTCTAAGACAGATGGCATGACTGGGTCCTAACAGCCTGTTACACCTTTTCAACTGAAGTCAGAGGTCAGTGACTCTTTATCTAGATACACAGGGATCATTAGATATCAAAGCAGATGAGGTGGACCTTATTAGAGACAAGTTTTCTCCTACATCAAAGAAAAATTCCATTTTACAATCTACAAAAGGCCACATTAAAGGAAGAAAATAGAAAAGAAAAAGACAAGCTAAGAATGGGTAAGAATCTAAAAAGAGGAGGAAGCAAGACCTCCAAACTCCTGGAATTGAGCTGCAGACTGAGGTCAGCCTGGGCTACATGACAAGTTCTGGGCCTGTCAGGTCATAACTGTGGCCCTACTTCAAAGGCCCAAACATAGAGCAGAGGACCTGAGCACCATGTGACCAACAACACAGTGGGGAACTTGGGCACCAAACCCAGTCACCAAACAGAGAGGAGGACCTGGAACTAGAGCCAGCCTGGACTACGTGACAAATTCTTGACTTGTCAGGTCACAACCGTAGACCACCCTCAAAGGACCAAACAACAGCAGAGGACCTGACCAGAGCACTCCATGGCCAACCATAGAGTAGAGGACTTGGGTTTCTGCTCTTCTCCTAATGAGCCAGTCTTGCTTCCAAAGCTTCACTCTACAAAATGCACAACTTTCTCTCTCTCCACCCTTCCATTCCCACACACACATTCCCTGGTGCTCACAGCATTCTTCCTCTCTGTCTCCAACAAACTGTCCTTGAGGTCCATCTGTTCTAGTTTCCTATGTTTTCATCAACAAAACCAAGACCTTAGAAAAGGAACCTTGTGACCTTGGCTCTACTTAACCATATACACCACATAAGCTTTCTAATCTGTCTTTTTAAGGATTATAATTGTAGATTGACAGCCTATAACTACACATTTAGGTATAAAACTAATATGATTCATAAACAATTTTGTAAGATAATTCTATCAAACTAAATTAGATGATGTCCATCACTACAAATATGCATCATTTTCATGGTAGCACATTATAAATATGTTCTCAGAAACTTTGAAAGGTGTATTAGACCTATGATTTGGCAACTCTACCTTTCTGCCTTAAAGAGCAAAATTCCAGAGCTCAAACAGATGGACTTGCACACTCAGCAGCATGGTTCATAGCAACCAAAGGTGAGAGCAAAGCACATTTCCAGCCACAATGAATGGGAAGCAGCACAGCATGTTCACACAATGGACTGTTATTCTGCCTTACAGAACCCAAGGAATCCTCACATACGCCACACTTTGATGAGCCCTGAGGACATCACACCAGTGGAAACAAGCCAGACAAAACAAATGCAAACAACACCAAAACACAGACACTGTGTGACTTCAATTCAGGGTTCCCATGTTAGACATATTCAGTGACAGAAAGAAGAATGACTGATGCCAGGAATCACGAGTGGGTGGTATGGGGAGTCTTCTTCCAGAGCTGCCGGATTCCGTTCAGAAAGATGAAAAAACACCCACATTTCAAGAGTGGTGATAATCACATAACATGAAGCTACTCCATACACTAACCTGGTAAAATGTAATGTGTGGTGTGTAGAGTTTCCTACTCTCTACACACAAACACATGTGAAAATGTGAGGTCTTCCACTCAGCTTTCAATGTACCAACACGCTCTATCACAGGATAAAATTTGGACTGGGACTGAACGAGGACGTGATCCAACCAGATTCTCTGAATGTGGCCGGATTCTCTGAATGTGGCTGGCCCGGAGTCTTTCTGAAAAGCCATTGACAATGACACTGGGACTTGTTTCCTCTGCATATACTGGATTTTGGGGATCCAGTCTGTTTGGATACTCACCTTCCTGGACCTGGAGGGAGGGGGGAGGAACTTGAACTTCCCACAGGGCAGGAAACCCTGACTGCTCTTAGGGACAAAGAGGGAGGAGGAGAGGGAGTGGGAGGAGTGGGAGGGTGTTGGGAGGAGGGGCGGAAATGGAAACTTTTATAATTTAATAAAATTACTTTCTAAAAAAAAATAAATCATGAAATGCTTAAAAAATGTTAACTCTGTTCTGGTCATGAATTCCAACTTTTCATGGATTTATATAGGCTTGAACAAAGTGATGGCATTTTCTCATTTGCTTACCTGGTTTGGACTTCAGTACAGTCATTCCTTAGGACATGGAAAGCGATACCCAAACACACTGCCAGTGTTGCTGTGATAAATGCCTTTCAAAAAGAAAACAGGGAAAAGAAAATTTTCAATTAGGAGTAGAAAATATTCTACACATTGTCAATTATTTTAAGATTTATGGTTTCCTAATCAGATCTCTCCAGTGATATAAACACTATATAGTATGTCCAGAGTCTCTGGAAGAACATACAACATGCATGTCAATAGACTGCTCGTATATCAGACTGACAGTGAAGATCTCTGCAATCTGAGGCTCCAACAGTGCAGACCCTGGAAGCTAAGACTTCTCCCAGTGCTCCAGCAGGAATGGACAATGAAGAACTCAGTTCAGGAACTAAAACCTGGATGACACTGGGTGGGAGAGAATGCAGGTGCCTGGGGAGCTCTGGGAACAAACCCAGGTAAGAGACAGAAAGTCACTAAACTGAGGTCTCAGCTGTGGTGCCAGTGAACATGTGCAGGTTTCTACTACAAGTCACTCAAGAGAATTCAGGCTTTCTTTACTCTTAGAGTTAGAAACAAGAGCACCCAGGCCAGGGGGACAGCTCAGTGGCAGAGCCCTCACAACACACAGTAATGCTAATCCCCACAAGTGCAAACCAAACAACGAAATTAAAAATGGCTCACAACAGAGTTCTTAGCAATGGGATTTTGTGTGCTAAGAAGGGGTGAGCTGATCCTCACTTGTGTCACCTCAGGGAAGTCTGTGCTGTGTGGGAACCAGCACTATTGCTGTCACCAAAGTGATCATACTGCATCCTCTGAGTCACCCCAGTCTCCCATTTTCCATCATGTCTGTCATTGCTGCTCCATCAGCCTCTGTCAGAGCGGCCAGGGCTCAAGTCTCACCTATGCAGCCAGTTCCTCCAGATTCCCATCTACCTCTATCTACCCAATCTGTGCCGACCATCACAAGAACCAATTGCTTTGGTTTTGGATTAAAATGGCTTTAGAAGGCGCTTCACTTAGCAAAAGAGTAAGGCTACATGATGCTGGAACTTATTTGAAAGATCCTATTATTCCTCAGATAATGCCTTAAAAGTAGAACATTATGATCTAAGGGTAAGGATCCTACCACATAATGTGATAAATTAGAGATCAAAATTCCAGGGCTTGGAAATATAGCTCAGCAGTTAAGAGTACTTGCTGCCCGGGAAGAGGACCTGGGACTCAGTTCCCAGCACCCAAATGGCCCCTAACCAACTTCTGTAACTCCAGTTCAGAGAATTTGATGCCTTTTTCTGACCTCCAATGGCATGCACATGAGTACAGATATACATGAAAGCAAAGCAAAACATCCATACAAAAAAGTAAATAAATGTTAAAAAATAGCCCTCAATTCCTACATTGCTAACTGCTAACACACACACACACATACACACTTACCTCATGACACTGCCTCACTGTTGAACAGTGAGTAGCCCAATTTGATGACTATAACTCACTTGTTCCAAAATCTTATTGAATCTTTTTTTTTCGCAGAAAGAATGGACATAAAAATGTACTTTAGACATAAGTGCCCAAGTTAAAGGCAAAGTGTTCGGAGCAACTGACAGTATAACTCAGATTATTCATATACAGGCAGGAAGGCAGCAACATTTAAATATGAAAAAGGTGGTAGCTATGTTTAGAAGCAGTGTCTCATTACAGTCAACAACACACGAACATTCAGTATGCAACAGAAACTAAATGCCTCAGAATAAAATAACAATGCACTAACAGAAAGACTGATCATGGGGTTGGAGAGATGGCTCAGCGGTTAAGAGCATTGCTTACTCTTCTAAAGGTCCTGAGTTCAATTCCCAGCAACCACAAGATGGCTCACAACCATCTGTAATGAGGTCTGGTGCCTTCTTCTGGCCTTCAGGCATACACGCAGACAGAATATTGTATACATAATATATATACATTTTATATATATATATATATAAAATGTATATATATATATATAAAAAGACTGACCACAAGTTTCGGTTGTTCGGGGACAGGGATGTAGGTCCAAGGTAGAGTGATTGCCCTCTAATGGCTAAGGCCCCAGGATCAAACACTAACACAGCAGAATCATCAACAATACGAAATAAAAGATAACTGAATAAGTGATGGCCCAATGAGCTGGAAGAACCACATTTCTGTGTGACATTAGGTTAAAATACAGAAAATCTTAAGTCATGATGATCCTTGTTACAGAGCCGGTTTAAAGAAAAGCAGAACTTCACCTCCTCCCGGTTCCAGTTGGCTGACAGGGAAGAACATTGTTCATCCAGTTACTGTGTGTGTGTGAGAGCTGCACTCTTTGAGTAGCTGCTGCTTTCACACACTGGACTCCTGATGAGGGACCAGCACTCTGCAGCGGGCTCATCTCAGGCAGTCGATGCTCAGGCTCCCTCAGAGCTGTTCTGTGGCCCTGTCTCCTCATCACATGATTTCAACCACAGACCAACCGTCCTTTCCCTCTCCAGTCATCTCCACCCTTCTCTACTTAAACCTTCTCCAAGTCCATTCTCTCGTCTGACAGGCTACAGTTCTATCTGTTTATCCAGTTACCATCCATCCCCTCACAAGGAAAATTACATCAGGAAAAAGGCTTTTCCTCCTTGACTCATTCCTGGACTTTGAATTGTAGGATGCACTGGTGAAATTAAGCAGACAGGTGTGAGGAGTTCACAGGCGTGTTGAGTTTCTTGTGTTGCCCAAATTAAATTTCCTGCTTGGGTTAGTAATTACAGTTCCTCTAGGTAAAAAATAACCACTAAAAACATTTTTATAAGAACTTAATAGTTGTCTATTTACTTTATTGAATATTTCTCTATGCCAAGGAGAGTGGAGATGACAGACACATGGAAGGGAGCAGAAGACAAGTGAGGCCCTGCCGTAGACTGACTCAGAAACAAATCGCTCCCATGTGAGTTTTTCACAATACAAATAAAATAACTCATCAGATTACCTGGATCCTGGTGACCCGTGGAAAACCCAGGAAATTTTTGAATGAACGACGAATAATCCACCAGAGCTGATACCAGAAAGGGGTGACATACGAGATCTCCTCCAAGGCTGAGCTCCTCCCTGCATTCTGTTCCCCCAAGAGTTGATCCAGTTCAGTTCTCATTTCACTGCATAAGGAGGACTGGGAATACATATTGGCTAATTCTTCTGTGACTTGGTACTGTCTCCAAGAAAGCTCTTTATATTTGTCAACTTTGAAATAAAAATGGATAAAGACAAGAAACAGATAATAATTTAATTGATTTTTCTGAGACACTTTTCATGAATAACTCATAAATTATGTGTCAGGTTTTTGAGACAGTCTCATGTACCCTAGACTGGCTCGAAGTTGCTCTGACGTCAAGGGTGACCTTTAACTTCTCCAAGTCCTCCTGTTTCTTTCTCAAGTGCTGAGATTACAGGCATGCACCTTCACACCCAGTTATGTGCTAGAAACCAAACTCACGGCTTTGTGCAAGAGAGGCAAGCACTCTACCAGCTGAGCTCCATCTTCAGCCCACCAAACTTTGAGCATAATGAAATTACTTCTGTGTAATTTCTTCACAGATGAGAAAAGTGTCCCTAAACTGACCTGATTACTGTCATTACTCCATGGACACAGCAATCTGATTGGTCTTTTCCCATATGGACCCCAATTCTTAACAAAGTTCTCCTTCCCTTATGAATCTATACTTCTTAATGTAGAAGTCTTGTCCCTGCTTTCTTCCACATGTGAATGTATATGCAAATGTATGAACTGCCAAGCATCATGCTTTTAAAATGTTATAAACAAAGCCAGGCATGGTGACACAGCCCTGTAATACCTACACCTGAAAGGTGAAGTAGAAAGAGCACATATTTAAAGCCAGACTGACTACATGAGCAAACCATCTCTAAAACAATAACAAGAATAATATGACAAACAATAGGTACATTTACTTTTTAACAGAAATTTCCCTTGTGTCAATATCATAAAGGGTCGACTATAAATTAAATAAAAAACAAACACAACAGACAGCAAAGTCTATTAGCTAATTTGGGGGCAGTTAATTAACATAAAAGTTATATTCTAATCAGACACATGGTTGTGTTTTAATCAAACCAGTTAGAAAAAAATCTGTGACTCTAGAAGACTCACGTACCATAACGGCCGTCTTCCTCTGTGTTAAATAGAGAAGAGAAACTTCCATTAATGATGTCCAGGAAGAAGTCTGCAGGGTTGTTGTGGGAATCATATTTGTAACCTACAAAGAATGTAGATCATGAATACAAACGTGAGGACTCTTTCAGAGAGTGGGACAGGGAGGGGGAAAGAACCTAAGAACTTCTTCCTCTTCTAAGCCGTTCCTCTGCTAACTTATCCTTTCTTTTCATATATACACTCAATGTTTCAACAATATCTGAGTCCCAGTCTAATATATATAATATATATTATACACTTTTATGAATATATATATGCAAGTTTATGTGTATGTTATATATACATATGTGGGCTCTTCATTTGAGTTTGGCCTACAATTTTATTAGACTCTAAGACTCACAAATGTTTATTCTGAAAGCACATGTTTTTGTAACCCTGGGTACAGTCCTGGGAGCTGGTCTCTTAGGCTGCTAGAGAGTAATGAAAAGTAAATATTTAAACCTTGAGAGTGACCCAAAACTATATTCATACCTCGCTAAGATGAAATTGATGGCATAAACCATTAAAAAAATACATCATCATTCAATGTGAAATGTGAAAAATCCATGCAGACAAAAAACATGAGTCCATGAACCCAAGTTAAGCAATCTCAGCCCACAAGCAGTGCCTAAACCTGAAATGCAAAGCTACTGAGTTAAGTAACCTCTCCACAGCTCCTTAGAGTCAGGGGAAACTGAAAACCACCATCTGCTGCATGAGCAAAAACACCATGAAGCTTTTCCAAAGCTTTTCAAGGGATGGATAAATGCGCTTGGGGTTGGCATGTTAATGAGGAGTGTCACCATGACTGGGAAGCCAAACAAGAACTTCAGCAAAAATCCTGTACACAGGCATGATACAGGGCAGGCAGGAGACCCGCACAACAAGCCCGTGCTGCACAACTAACAGAACCCTGTCACCAAATGAACCAAAGGTGTTTAAAATGGAGAAACTCACACACAATAAGTCTGAATGAGGGCCAAGAAGCATTCCTGAGAACCCCTCTTCCCTCCCCAGATCCCGTGAATGAAGGCGCTCTCACAACAAAGCCAGCCATACCTGCGGATTTGAAGTACTCCAAAGCCTCGTGTGCAGGCCCATGAAACATGACTTTTCCTGAGGCCACTAAGGTGAGGCTGTCAAACAGTCTGAAGATGGAGTATGGGGGTTGATTAATGGAGAAGATGATGGTCCATCCCCTCCTAGACATCCTAAGTGTAAAGAGGGAAAGGTCACAAGTCACTGAACATTGAAATCTTGAAGTTCTCGACAAAATATTTTATTCCTGAAGTCATGTTTGTTCTCATTTAGGCTTGAATTTTCCTTAAAAAATACTTCCTCTCACTTGTCTTATGCACCTGGTAGTGAAACCAAGCTAAAGCTCTTATTAAAAAGTCTACGACTTCTAACATATGGGACGTCAGTAGTGCACTCAGGTGTCACCACGTCGATCCCTGTGCTGTCTTCTCAGACACTGAGTCACAATATCTGGGAGTCAGTGCAGGGAATCCATATCATGAGCAGGCAGCCCAGGTGATTGACAGGCTCACTCAAGCTTGAGAAGAAATGACAGAGCAAACATTACAGCTGTGACTGTAAGCACAATTCCCCTCAATCGTTCACATTTTCTGTCTCTTCAGGAATTGGTTTTTACTGTTCTGATGATGTGACTCACACTCCTAACCACTTGCTCTCCCACTAAACACTGCAGCAAGAACCTCGTTTCAGTTTTCACAATGTCGGCATAAGGCAATTCTAATATAATTTCCCCTTTGTGTTAATAAGGCTTAAAATGTCAAGCAACAGACCACGGGGCCACAGTTAGTGAGGGTCGAACCTTGGATTTGATTGTTGGTTTAATTCCACAACATGAAAAAATCAGCTGAATGGCCATTTCAGGAAACCATATCTTCTGTTAGGAGAATCAATAACCAAAAACAGTGTTTGAAACATATACAAAAATATTTTTAATAAAATTGGGTATGACATATCTGAAATACCCCTGCACTTGGAAGGATCCATTATTCAAGGCTCAACTAGGTTACAAGAGACCCTGTTTCAGAAAGATAAACAGAAAAAATAAAAGAGAGAGGTCGGGAGGGAAGAAGAGAAAGAGGATGGAGGGAGGAAGAGAGAGATAAGAAAAAAAGGAAGGAAGGAAGAGAGGGAGGAAAAAAGGAAGGAAAGGAGAGAAGGGAAAGGGAGGGGAAAAGGGAAACGAGAATGAGAAAGCTGTGAAGTGCAGTGCACACCTTGAGCTCCAGCTTAGAAGGCAGAGGCAAGAAAATGAGATCAGCCTGGGCTACGGAGTAAAGTGACAAACTGTGAAACCTCAAGACAAGCATCTCATAAGTGTATGCTGTGAGGTGTCACCATTTCCTCAAATCAGCCAGGCCAGACAGTAATACCAACACAGGGTGGAAGAGAAGCAGACAGGATCCCTTGTGAGAAAATAGACTTGCAGGTTGTCTGCAGGTAAAACAAGAGAGGCGCCTGAGAAGAGAAAAACAAGCTGTACAGAGTATGAACGAAAATGTCTGTCCAAGAAACTATGAGAGTTCACTGCTACACAGCAAGGATTGTGTCTGCCTGAATGTGTTTGAGAAAGGGAGAATGTGGGGAGAAAGCAGAAACAGGGTGGAAGACATAGGTACATAAAAAAGGATAGAGAGATAGAGAAATAATCGGTATGAAATCAAACTATTAAAAGAGATTGCAGGACAAGCAGCTTAGGTGTGGGAAGGTCCTTCTGCTGTAAGCTGGAACATTAGGAGGATGGTACTCCAGAGCTTCAAAGATTCAAAGCAGAGAGCAGACTCGGCAAGAGCCTTCCTCAAAGTAAGGTCTAGGATCTGAATCCTCAGTATCTCCTCCCACAGCATTTATCTTGGAATCCTGGGCAGTGTCTCACACCTACAGAATCACACCTACAGAAGCACACTGACAGAATCATGTCGACAGAATCACACCTACGGAATCGCACCTATGGAATCACACCAACAGAATCACACCTACAGAAGCACACTGACAGAATCACACCTATAGAAATAGAAGGGTTTTTACATGAAAGTAAAATTTTATTTTAAAAATATGTATTTGACAACCATTTCTTTACAGGATGTCTTCCTTGAGTGTATGTCTGTTACCACAAGTCCCTGGTGCATGTGGAGCGGGAAGACTGCATTAGATCCCCTAGAACTGACGTTCCAGATGGGTGTGAGCTGCCATGCGGGTGCAGGGAATGTAACTGAGTCCTCTGGAAGAGCAACCAATGATTTTAACTCTTATTTCATCTCTCCAGTTCTTGTCAAAAAATTTAATTGTAAAATTTTTATTTTAAATATATGAATCCTTATTAAAAGAAAATAAGATTGAAACACATTGCTTGAAATTCCTATGAAATAAATAAAAACATAATTATCCTCACAGTGAAGGGGCTTCCATTAGCCAGAGCTGGATTACCTTAATACTTAGAATAATAAAGAATAACATATTACAGCACACTGTACAAAATAGGAAGTGTGGGGCTGGAGAGATGGCTCAGAGGTTAAGAGCAGTGAATGCTCTTCCAGAGGTCCTGAGTTCAATTTCCAGCAACCACATGACAGCTCACAACTACCTGTAATGAGATCTGTGCCCTCTTCTGGCCTGCAGAAATACATACAGGCAGAACACTGTATACTAAATTAATAAATAGATAAGTAAATAAACAAATAAATAAATCTTTAAAAAGAAAAACAAAAAAGGGCAAAATAGAAACTGCAGAGAGACACCATTCTACACAGAACACCACGTAAGCTTGTGAAGTAATTAAAACAAGAGCAGAAGTGCTAATTTACACCAGAACTGGCTGGTAGAGATTAGATAAGGAGCAGAATAATGGTATAACAGCCGTTGTCTTCCATGTCATACTATTTATAATCACAAAAGAAAAAGAACTGTAATTTAGTATGATATAAGCCATTAAACACCAGAATGATGAGATGATCAAGATTCAAGCCATGGAAGCAAGATGGATCAATGTGTAAACACACCTGATGCTAAGTCTGAAGCGCTGAATTCCCAGAAATCACTTGGTGGGAGGAGAAAGACAAATCACTCAAATTTTCCCTTTGACCTCTACATGCATGATACACACATAAAGATACATATACACTAAATAAACAAATATAAAAAAATTAATTATTCCTACCATGGAGGATGCACTTCCAGGAGTGTTAGAGGCCAAGGAGAACACAGTATACCAGTGCCTACTGAGTCTGCTCCCAGACACTGGGAGAAACTACACATGAGATGACCCATGCAATGCACTAAGACTAGCCATGGCATGAGACACAGGGACAGAGAGAAGCATTCAATACTGGAACTTCAGCAAGAAGCTGATCTTAGAGAGTATAGAGAGTTTCCTGAAACAGGCAGGAAAAGGGGCAGACAGGAAAGGTGGTGATACCCAAAGAGTCTACAGACTAGATGATGGCAAGGCCCCACTATTTGACTTCCTCACTGGGAAGGTACAATGAGGAAGGGATCTTTATTCTTGGAGGTACAAATACCAGTATTTAGGGTAATGGACCATTGATGTGGGAAGTCCTTCTGTGCATGTGTTGCTTTTATTAGTTAATGAATAAAGAGGCTGTCTTGGCCTATGGAAGGATAGAGTAGAGTTAGGCAGGAAAATTAAACTGAATGCCGGGAGAAAGAAGGCAGCGCCAGGAGAAGTCATGGAGCCCCACCAGAGACAGATGCCAGACAGAACCTTGCCCGTAACCCACAGCCACGTGGTGATATACAGACTAATAGAAATGGGTTAAATTGAGATGTAAGAGCTAGCCAATAAGAAGAGAAAGCTAATAGGCCAAGCAGTGATTTAATTGATATAGTTTCTGAGTGATTATTTCTGGTCTGGGCAGCTGGGAATAAACAAATGGCATCCTACAACAGACCATGATGTCAGAACAAAACAAAGAACAGAGGGAAGGAACGAAAAACATCGGGCACTGTAAAGTTCAACAGTCAGTACCCTAGGTCAAGGGAATGTGAAAATCCTTACATGGTTCTTGGAGTCTTCCGTCAGTTTGAAACTCTATTAATTTCTAAAATGTACAAAACATAATACTTATACTTTTTCTATAAATATTTCACCATTAGACATCTTCTTTCTTGAAAAAAGAAATGTCATTTCTTTTACTTCATTTTCTCAGGTTCAGGACACATATCTTAGCAATCATTCCTTCAGCCATCACATCCAGGGTCAATCCCTAAAATAATGCTGTTTATTCTATATATGAAGCTACCCAGAGTCCACAAATTGTTAGCTAAGGAACCCCCACATCTCAGCCTTCTGGTGATATCTTTATACCCCACATAGTGCAGCTACAGAACCTTCTCCATAACGCATTGCTCTGCTCTAAACTCAGAAGCTTTCCCATATCCCCTGCCATGGAAAACCTTAGTCCTTACAGTGGCTCACGTAGTCTAGGCAATCTACATCCAACATAACCAACCTCCTCACTTCAACTAGGAATGAGGAGGACTGAATTGTATCTTTCCAAAGGCTCAATTGTTGAAGATCTCAAATCTAAGAACCTAAAATGTGGCTACAATGAAGACATACTCTTTAAAAAGGTAATTAAGTTTCAATGAAAATTACTAGAGTGTCCTAATGTAACTGGTGTCCATATAAGAGATCAGGGAATAAACACATGAAGATGGAAGAGATACCATCCATAATTCGGTGACCCAGGCCTAGCAGAAACAGCCTGTGGATGCCTGAATATCTTCTTTCCAGGATTCAGAACTGCAAGAAATTTAACTTCTGTCAAGTCACCCAGTCTGTGGAGTCTTTAGCAGAGAACTACCAACTTTCCTTCCCTTCAGGACACCAGGTTCTAGTCAACGTGGTCTCTTTAATGTCCCAGACACACCAAACATGCTCTGCCTCAGAAGAAATGGGTTTTCCCGCCATATAGCACTCTCTTCAGATCTCGCCCGCTCAGCTCCCTTGACCAATGTTTGTGTGGTATGGGGACATGCTATTTAAAGCAGTCTCCAGCTTCACCATCTCTTCCCATGCTCCTGTCTCATTGTTCTTAATGTGTAATCCTTGTTAATTCAAGTTTCCCTCTAATAAACAAGAAAGAAATTCTGTTGCTTACATATGAATCTCCTGCACCAAACACACACACACACACACACACACACACACACACACACACACACACAC